CATTTCTAAAGAGAGTAATAATCAATAAACAAGTATTTATGGAGTGCCCATCTTGCACATTATGGAGCCTGTGAAGAATATGGGAACAGTCTGGTTTCTTATAGGCTTCTCAGGAAGAATATACTAACAAATGAAACAGATTCTAACATGAGCCACTTACCACTAAGCTGTGCTGCAGGGAGTCTCAAGGGTGTGAACTCTGGAAACGTCATCTCTGTTGGAGTTAGGAATACACCACACCCAAGCTAACTTCCTACTGTTGCCTGAATACCCAGTTTGTTGGTCTTCTTAGGAGATAGTACTCCTCATTATCACTTGGATGGAGTACTCCTGTACTCCTCATGATCACTTGGGCTGAGGGCAAGAGATGGATTAATGAGGGCTCCTAGGTTTTTAGGTTAAGCAATGAGATAAATAATTTACTGGACTTATGGGACGAATGTGTTATACGAGAGTGACAGTAAGTTCAATATGTCTGTGTGAAAGTGTCGTATCAAGTGGAGAGTTGAATATGAATCTTTAGCTCAGACAATACACCACCTACTATGGAAAATGGAGGTCATTTGCCTCCTGTTACCATTTCTTGGTAGCTAGGGCATGGATAAATTACTGAATCTCCTCCAATTAGTGTCTCCACCCTGAACTTTGAGTTCTCAGGGAGTGAGACAGGAATATAGGAACCATTGTTCTTCAAACAGAACTGGATCACCAATTATTTTCCTCATTTACCCTTTAAACCATTCCTTTTGCACTTAGAATTGAATGCAAATGCTACATCTCAGTCTACCAGGTACCGCATAACTTAGTCCTCATTTAAAATAATGATATCAAACACATATCAAGTGCCAGGCACCATTTTAAACACTTATGACTATTTTGGGGCACCTGGATGGCTCAGTCATTAAGCGTCCGCCTTCGGCTCAGGTCACGATCCCAGGGTCCTGGAATCGAGCCCCGCATCGGGCTCCCTCCCCCCCCACTCGTGTTCCCTTTCTTGCTGTATCTCTCTCTGTCAAATAAATAAATTTAAAAAATCTTTAAAAAAATAAACAGTTATGACTCTATTTCATCATGACAATCACTGATGATGTACATTATTCTCTCTCCTTCACAGGAAGCACAGAGGAATAAGTAACCCATCTAAGGTTACACAGGTAGTGAGAAGTTGAGCCATATTCGAACCCAGGCTAACTGGCTCCAGAATCTGGGCTGTCATCTACTACACTGTTCTCCATGACCATTCTTTCTTGCCAGAAAAGGGAGACGTGCTCTGGACTTCTAAAATGTCTTCTAGCTCTAGCAGTCCATGATTTTACTCAAGTGCTTTTTTTTTTATAAGTAGTTTCTCCAGTTCTGCAATTGTAATGTTTTAAGAATTTTATAATAAATTAAATTAGAACGATCATTTAGTTTAATCTAGGGAAATGATGTGGATTCTTAATCTGCTTTCATTCTATTCTATTCTATTCTCCAATAATATGATCCTCTGCCATACCTATTAACTCAGGGAAATGACAAAAGCTAAAGCACCTTGTGATTGCAGCTTCTGTTGCTAATATATTCACAAATAAAATCCAATAGTCATTCTGTTTTACCAAAGCTGGCCATGAAATTCTCTCTCCCATTTACAATGTGTATTAAACAAAGTACTGTAAAATGTTTTAATGAATCTTTATAAAATATCTGGGTGTCCAATTTTTCATGTAAGAATCAATATAATGAACATAATAATGAATAAATGTTTCATGAACCTAGAAGGGGAATTGATTTTTCCTAATAATTCTATCAGGCTAAAGGCTATTTTGGAGAATGGCCCTGATAAAAGATAAATTAAATGTAACTCATTTGTAGTGTCTGTTCTTCAGATATTCTGAGCCTGCCAATATGCTTCAAATTTAACATCTTTGTCTTTCTCTTTAGAATATTTTTAACAATTATTTATCCCCAGGCAAAAAAACTTGGCTGTGAAATTAAAATTGCCATTAAAGTTGCTTATGACTACTAGTGGCTATTGTTGTTTTTCTCAGTCATTATATATATTTCATATTTCCTGGAAATAGTTCTACTCTTGAACAGAACTCCATCTAAATAGGTCCGTTATAATTAAAGAGATTAATATTTGCCCTTAACACATAGCTGAGAGTGAAATAGAAGAGTAGGCCTTATTTGATAAACACTTTTCAAGGTTCTAAGACCTTGGCAGACACCAAGATGATGAGACAAGACCAGTGTGTTCTTGTTTCCCCACTATCTCACTGTGATCTACCTAGAACTGAATCCAAAAGAGAGAACTGGTCAACATCAGCCACACTGAAGAGCAGGCATGGAAGGCTTGGACAGGCCTTGGAAAAACTGCAAAGGCTTTAGTACCACAATCGTTCCTTTCTTCACAACTTTCCTAGACTTTCAATCCTGCCTCCAATTTGCCCCAGTGTCCTTTGGCTACCCTGGGCCCCTCCTTTCCTGAGAAAAATGTCAGACAATCGAATTCACTCAAAGGTGTTAGTGAGCTAATGTGTTACCTCACATTGGGGCCTCTGCCTTCCAAAAGACAAGCCTGGAGAGGACAATGCCAGGCCACGATTTAATGAGTTACCAGTGACAGGTTTACAGCATGACTATGGAAAGGATCAAGTGGTTTTGGAGGAAGCCTCTCTTGCTCCCCTTCAAACTACTTTACTGCCTATTTTACTCATTTTTGGCACAAAAGTTTAGGCCCACAGTGGGCCACAAGCAGTTTCCAGAAGGAAACTCATTCTCATCACATAGGAAAATGCTTTCAGGTTCCAGATAGTGCCAAATCGTAGACTTAGAAGCAGTCACAGAGAAAACTTTTTCATCTATAAACCTGTCAGGCTAGATAATTTCTAAAATTCTTTCAAGTTTATACATTTTTGAAATTTTTCATATTATCTATCCAATTCCTTCCTTCTTCCAGATGAGATCACTGATGTCTCCAAATCTTCCTGAATCCAGTCCTTTTCTCTCAGCTTTATAACATCCTGTCCACATGCCCCATAGCTATTGCAACAGTGTAAGTTCTCATAAGTAAACTGACGTACTTACATAATGTATATTGTGGGTTGATGCAAGAAGTTCCTAAATATAATCCCATAGCTGTCTAATCCATCCCCTGCACTATCTGTTCATAGGCTGATACTTCGAAAATATAAATCTCATCATGTCCTTTCTTTACTTAACATTCTTCAGTTTCCCCAGTTGCATTTAGAATAAAACCCAAATTCCTTAGCATGGCACACAAAGTTAGTGATCTAAACTTTGTGTCATTCCCAGACATTCTCACATCCCTCCCATCTCCAGCCCTGCAAGACTCCATACAAGCCTCTGCACAGGTCTCACAGGCTCCAGAGCCCCTGCCTTTGCCCACGCTGCTCCCAGTGTCTTTCCTTCCTCCTACCCAAATGTCGTTCTAGAGTAAAGCTGAGATAAAGGGTACTGCAGGAACACTGCAGCGTATGCTTCCTGTAATATTTATGAATATCCAATTCTGCTCAAGAGAATAGAGGACATTAAGCATAGAAACAAGACAAAAAAAATAGATGACATTAAGTATGGAAACAAGTAACCTGAAAGACATCTTAGACATCATTAAAGTAAGTAGGAAGGGACAGAAAGACTATGTAACATCAAATAGCCATGAGGCTCTCCGGGAATCCCATATTCATGAAGTCTTAGGCTCCCTGTTTGGTAATGTCCTACCTGGCCCACTTGTCCTCTGGCCCAGACAGACAGATAAAATCCATAGCTGCTCAGAGGCTACATGTCACATTCCAGCTGCGGACGAGAGTATTGGCCTTCTGTAATAGAGCAAGTTATTTTACCTCCGGGCACCCTACATCACTGCTCACCCTTACTTTGGACCTCTTAACCATCCCATCAGCAAGGAAAGCTGACTGAGGGACAGAGAGGGAGAGAGAGAGAAGACTGTGAACCTGTGAACTCCAGGGTTTGGGGAGCGTGGCCCTTCCTGCCTGTTTGCAACCTATTCTAGTATATTAACCTACTCGACTTCCTTTTCTTGCTGTAGGTTTTAAGTTGACTTAATGAGCCATGTGACACGTGCATCTTAATTCGGTCTGTGGGCCTTTCTGTGTTTTTCTCTCTCTGGGACAGGCTTCCTGAAAGCAGAGCTGGAGGCTACCACGGCAGTGAGGTAATTTCCCAGTGCACAAAGGCATCCTGTCCCCAGACCAGGTCCAGTGTCCTTCCTTGGCACTCTTTGAAAACATCTATGACAGCAGTTAGCTCTCCATGTTACAAAATTGTTTTCATGTTTGACTTCTCATTAGACTGTGACATCCTTGATGTTGGGGACTCAATCTTCTTACTCCAAGCACCTAACATAATTAGAGACTGCCGTGTTTTTGCTAGAGTCAAAAAACGTGTCGTCACTAATTAGTGCCAGTTGAAACCAGAATTCGGGTCTTCTGAATGAACCATTAGGCAGAACCAGAACCTTACTTGAGTAGGGGTGCGTGAGAATAAAATGCATCACTTATATTTATGTCTTCCTGGAGGTATCTGAGGTGGGGAAGGCAAAAGTATTGATCTTGGTTACCCACATGGAAAGACACCAAATTTGATCTCCATCATGGAGGTCAAATAGAAAACAATGAGCTAGGATTTCTAAAATCCTACCAAGGTTCAAAACCTTTTTCATAGAGTAATGGCCTCAGTGTCTCTTCCCACCCCCCAGATATCCTCCCCTCCACCATCTTGAGAGGCAGGAATGACAACATACATCACCTTTACTCTAATTCTGGATAGACCATATCTAAAGATGAACATTAACCTCAATTAAAAGTTTCATGGCCCCCCACCCAGTTCCTTACTTCTTGTTACAACTTCAGTGAGAATGACAGGGATTTTTAAAATCAAATGCCTACACCAAGGGACAGGTAGCTACTTACAACAGTCTCTTTGAGCAGAAACTGAGGCAAATAATCCTGGTGCTTTTCTGCTTCCCACTAAGTGCACTTCTTTCTGTCTCTTGTGATTTAAGCCTTTTATCATTGACCCCTACATATTAAGCCTCATTCTTTTTCTCTGTCAGTCTTGGTCAGTTGTTCCAGTCTCTCTTTCACTCCTTTCACATTCTTTTCTCTCTTGATCTCCTCCTTATTCTCACTCTGTTCTTTTTTTCTTGTCTTTTTCTCTTCTCTTTCCAGCTCTTTTGGTCCACTGCTCAGTTCCTCCAGCAGGGTCTCTGAAAATGTGATTAGGAATGTATCTGCAAGAAGATACAAATGCAAAACCAAAGCATTGAGTTCCAAATGAAACAGGGATTCCCCAGCCTGGTTGTCATTGGCACTCTACCAGAACTATAAAATTCTAGAAAAATATCAAGATATAATTCATTCTAATGTATTTTCATTTACAAAGTAATCGGATGCTCTGAAACTTTTTTTGAGAAGTAACAGGAAAGAGGAAAGTGATCTTACATTAAACAGTGTACATAATAATTTGGGGGAAGTGTTGGGAGTCGGCGTCTTAAAAATGTCCTATTTTTCCCTATCTTTGAAAAATAATGTAGTTCTTAACCTATGATATGCATTAAAATGTAACTGACAACCATAAAACATAATTTCCGTGCATTTTTTCACGTAAAGACATCCCAAATGCTGAAATTAAAAATTCAAACTTTTAATGGTATTTTGGAATAGTCACATATTAAAAAAAATAACAAAACTGTTTTACATTGCCAAACATGATTCTAAAATTGAGAAAGCAAAATTCCACGTCACTCAGAGTTTTGTACAAAATTCTACTAATGTAAAATAAACATTTTCCCTTAAAATGGTAGTATTTTAATATTTTTATAAACGTTTTTCCTTTGTATTCTACAATAAAAAGATAGACTCTTCCAAAAAACCTAAGGTTTGAATGCCAACTCATGTATATTTTTTAATTAATAAAAGTAACATAAATCAAATAGGCATACCCAAAATGACAGTCACAGATTGTGCAGTATTTTTGCTATTTTGTCAGTCATCGTCTTGGGTACGTTTCTTTTAAAACAAAGTTCTCTAGGAAATTGTGTCCTCTTGTGGTCACTGGCACAAACAACATGTTTTGTGCAGGAAGAATCAATCAAAACAATGGAAATAGGACTTAAGGCTTCAGGAAAAGCCATTTGTGAAAAAAGGAAATCCCTTGAAGCGTAGAGAGATGAAAGTCATGAGTAATCAGAAAAGCAACTTGATCTGGAAAAACACAAAATATAAACCATTAGATTTAGATTTAAATTGCTTGATAATGAAAAAGAGAAGATAAAAATGCTTACTAAGTAAGAAGCCTATGGCCATGATAAAAGCCTCTATGAATAACTACGTATTTCTTCCATTATTTCTTCAGTTACTCCAGCAGCTCCCTGAAATAGGTGAGAGTGTATTTCACCAAGGTTAACTGGCAGCAAAGATGGGACACAACCTCTCTAGCCTGCACATCCAATAAGCCAATAAAGGTGTGTGTGTGGCAGAGGGGGGGAGGCTCTTCAAGACTCCATACTTTCCACACTCGGATTCCTCTCTACATATGAGTTCAGCGTATCATGCTTCTTTACCTTATCCTCATTTTGAATGCAGAACGTCAGATATTTTAAAGATTATTTGAAAATTTGATTGGCTCATTTGAGGTGCTCTTGGCAACTCAATTTCTTATGCCTTATTCTTTTTCATTTTATTTCTGGATTGAAAGTTTCACATTTTATAATTTTAGTTCCTTAAAGGGGTTCAGAAGGAGAAATATAGAATCAGTTAAATTCATGAATTAAACTATCCTTAAGAGAAAGAGAATGCTCTCTTATTTAGGGCAAGGTGTTCAAACATCATGAAGGCTGCCTGTGTTGCTGAGAAAGAATCTGCTTTCACACAGTTATGGAAGTCACTTGTGCTGACACAAACTTTATATTCCACTTTGATAAAATTCTCTTACTTCAATATCAAACTAGGCAATCCCTGTGGAGTGTTCAAAACAAGATGAAATCTAAGATGTACAATCTCATTCAACGGCAGCCTTCTCCAATTTGCGCCCCCTTCTGTGTGAACGCTCCTGTGCTTCATTCATGCAATTCAGAGAAATGATTTCACAAAACTCTAAGCCAATCTACAGGTGGTACGTCATCCAAAGACTAAGAAGAGTAGGAACAGATTCAAACACTCCCCTTTTGTGCAAATCCAACTCCAAAATTTCCTATCTTGCTACCAATTCTATAGCATATGTATGTTTCTTTTCCTTCTCTAAAAGTATTTATAAATGATTATTGTTAAGAGAATATCAGTGCATATATAGTCAAACTGGAAGAATACACATACATACATACTTACTGCATACACTCGGTATGAGATTCCTAACTTTGTTTCTTCTAACAGTAGTTTTTTTTCAATTTTCAACACAGCACACATTCCTCAGGAAGGACTGCGAACATGCCAAGTTTGCAGTTTTGAAAACAAAGCTCGTTTTGAATCATCTGAGTGCAAAAGAAAAACTTTTTTGTTTTCAGTTAATTTTTTTTCAGGGAATTTATTTTAGAAGTAGACAAAATGATTTAATTCCAATTAATCCAGTATTCCCAAAGAAGGTAGTTCTCCACTACCGTCCTTCAAGTCAAGCTGAGTTCAGCCCCATAGGGAAATTTCTAAAACTGTTTTTAAGAGCCTGAAATTAGGATTTTCGAACTAAGTCTGCTTTCCCCAGCAAGTGTGGACAAGAAAATTGCTAGATAAAATGTTAGGTAAGATACACCTACAGATGAACAGAGTGGGACAATCCGGCCGTGAAATATTAGTTTGCAAAGTGGGGAGTATCAAGCCCCAGACATTTTGAGAGGTAATTCATTTGGCAATCCACAGCCTTCGGCTCAAAAAGTAACCTGTAGGCACTCAAAACCCCCCTCATCCTCAACCTCCACTCCTTGGAAGAGTTCAAGAGAAATTTCTTCTCAGAACTAAAGTCATTCATTGTGACTCTGTCAGGAAGATTCCATGCTGGGACGGTTCTGGTTAGGTCATTCATTTTAAACTCTCTTGTAAGCATCCTGGCGTGGAGAGCGAGAGCACAGACTCAGCCCCAGGGATCCCTGGTACCCAACGGCCAGGCGCTCTTCATCCCCTATAAGTTTAGGGCCCAGAATAGGGTTGGGTTCACGTGTTTAAGAACCAGTCTTGGAGATTGATGACTTTCCAAGTCCAGCTGGCTAATGATCCCTGGCTCCTGCACTGCTGTGGACCTGGTTTCTCCTCCAGCTCCTCTGCCCTCATTTCCATCCCCCAACCCCAAATCCCTTTGGTCAGGTAAAGTTTCCCTTTACACTTTGCCCACACTTTCCTGTCTTGCTTACCCATAGCCACGTAGGAAAAAGCCATCTCTTTAGTTTTAAGGATTGCACTAAAGGGAAAAGAAAAACAAAATTAAGATTTGAGATTGATCTTAAAAAGAGAGGTAAAGATGGAAAATTTTCAAGATTTCTGCAGCCACCTTCAAATAAAAATTGTGCAATAATCGGCAACTCGCATTTATAAAAGAGAACACTTGGTAGAGTGTGGCAGAATTTCTGCCTTATTCTCAGCTTCCAAGAGATAAAATCCTAAAGGCAGAAGATGTAAACAAAAGGGTGACTTATCACAGTGTGCTTCGTTTTAAGGATACCTGCCTGCATACTGTAAGTGGAGATATCCTTAATTTTCAGACAGGATCTCATTTTTCAAATAGGGCGGTGACTCTCGGGGCAGGCCAGTTGGTACGCTGTGGTCATTGTTTCTGCATATTTGTAAAACTGGTGATAGCCAAATCCTGCAAGTCACCCCTCCCAAGAAAGCACAGCCTTGTTAGACCCCCACGGGAGAGAGGGATGCCTCTAGCTCTCACTCCCCCCCCCCCCGAAGTCTGAGCCCTTCAAGGCGCTCCAGACCCCAGGGTTTCCGGACTGAAACTGTGAGCCTCAGGGAGGCAAAGCTACATGGCCTGCCCTCCAGTTGCCTGGGCTCCCTTCTCCTCCTCCCCACACCCACAGCCTCTACCCTGGTCAGGCCGGAATGGAGACTTATGCTGAGCTAATTCTCCTCTGACAGGCCAGTCTGGGGAGAGCGTGAGTGGAGCTCGGCCTGCGCGGGGCACACAAAACCTCAGCACCCCTAAATCTACCCCCCCTGAAAACCCACTACTGCTTTTGACCTCTAGTTTGCTTTGCAACTTAACGGATGAACACTATCCCAACTCGTTCCAAAAAAGAGAAACAAGTTTGGCATTGCAAAGAGGAGGTTCTCTTCTCCCCTGGCTTCCCTTCCAGCCCACCAACTTTTGTTGCCTCTTATTTGCCAGAATCTGCATTAACACCCTCTTTGGGGCTCTGGGGCTCGTTGTTGTTAAGGTATTCGTTAGAATGGCTTAAAATACAAAAGTGTCCGAGTAACTGGAGCGCGTTTGGGTCACACGAAGCATAACTGTCCACTCCACCTCCTAGGAATGAAGGGTGGAGAAGGTGCGTCTCACAACCGTCAGCCACGCGCGTGTTCGGGGGCTTGAACCCCATCGCACTCTCACTCTCTTATGAGCCTACCTTTAGAGGTCACAATATGGGGCTTTATTTGAGAGTAGGGTAGGGATGAAATGGCCACAGGGTCCTCCACCTTGGGCTGGCAGCTCAGGAGACCAGGGCCGCAGCGAAGACGCTGCGCTGTCCCTCTCCGGCCCCGCTGCCTTCTCCAAGGACAGGACTGACTTCGGAGAAAGAACGAACTGTCTCTAACACCGTCGGAGGTGCAGTCTTTTGAGTGGCAGGAAGCTTTTAGACTGGGTCACTGTGGAGGGAAAAGGAAGGCCCAGATGCTTCTCAGGGAGGGGTGAGAGCAGGCCGGGGCACAGATCCGCAGTCCCCGCGCCGCAGCCACGTCTTCAAAAACGCCCACGACCTCAGGGCCAGCCGCGGTGGTTTGGCCTTTGCGACTCTGGGGGCCCGTCTACCTGGCTACTGGGGGGAGCTCCGCGGTTGCCAGTTATCCTGCTACTGCCCCCATCCCCAGCAATCCCAAAGCGGCCCCACGGACCTAGAGGGTACTGGGGCGAGATGAGACATCACCCACTGCGTCGAAGCTGTTGCTGCCGCTGCTGTCACAACCACTCCGGGAGGGACTGACACCGGGGCCGAAAGGTCCCCTCCGGCCGCTTTCCGGGGCTGCGCTCGGGTGCGGGGGCGCGGCCCGCGCGCTCCGACGCGGAAGGAAATCGCCCCGCGCCCGCCTGCGGAGGGCGGCGGAGAGGGAAGGGGGAGGGCAGCAAAGGAGGCGGGCAGAGGGGCCGGCCGCCCGAGCCAGGTCGTTTTTGAATGGTTTGGGAGAACGAATTGTTAGACCCTGAGGAAGGGGGGGGGGGGGGGGGGGGGGGGGGGGGACGGGGAAGCGGGGCTGAAAAGCGGAAACTTTCCTATAAAACTTCGAAAAGTCCCTCCTCCCCACGTCAGGCCAATGACACTGCTGCCCCCAAACTTTCCGCCTGCACGGAGGTATAAGAGCCTCCAAGTCTGCAGCTTTCGTCCAACTCCCAGACACCTCGCGGGCTCGCCGGCACCGGCAGCGTTTCCAAGAGGCCGAGCAGGGTGTGCGTGCGGCCGTTGGGCGCCTTCTTTTTGGACCTCGGGGCCATCCACACCGTCCCCTCCCCCTCCCGCCTCCCTCCCCGCCTCCCCCGCGCGCCCTCCCCGCGGAGATCCTCCCCGTCCCTCCTCCCGCTCCCTCCTCGGCGGGCCGCACCGCCCGGGCCGGCGCCGCGCGCGGGGGAAGCTGGCGGGCTGAGGCGCCCGGCTCTCCTCCTTTTCCCGGGCCGCCCCTCTGCCCCGGGCCTGCGAGGCCGCGCGTTGCCACCTGAGAGATGATGCAGGACGTGTCCAGCTCGCCAGTCTCGCCGGCCGACGACAGCCTGAGCAACAGCGAGGAGGAGCCGGACCGACAGCAGCCGCCGAGCGGCAAGCGCGGGGGGCGCAAGCGGCGCAGCAGCCGGCGCAGCGCGGGCGGCGGCGCGGGGCCCGGCGGGGCCGCGGGCGGGGGCGTCGGAGGCGGCGACGAGCCGGGCAGCCCGGCCCAGGGCAAGCGCGGCAAGAAGTCTGCGGGCGGCGGCGGCGGCGGCGCCGGCGGCGGCGGCGGCGGCGGCGGCAGCAGCAGCGGCGGCGGGAGCCCGCAGTCGTACGAGGAGCTGCAGACGCAGCGGGTCATGGCCAACGTGCGGGAACGCCAGCGCACGCAGTCGCTGAACGAGGCGTTCGCCGCGCTGCGGAAAATCATCCCCACGCTGCCCTCGGATAAGCTGAGCAAGATCCAGACCCTCAAGTTGGCGGCCAGGTACATCGACTTCCTCTACCAGGTTCTCCAGAGCGACGAGCTGGACTCCAAGATGGCAAGCTGCAGCTATGTGGCCCACGAGCGGCTCAGCTACGCCTTCTCGGTCTGGAGGATGGAGGGGGCCTGGTCCATGTCCGCGTCCCACTAGCAGGCGGAGCTCCCCACCCCCTCGGCAGGGCCGGAGACCTAGGTAAGGACCGGCGCCTCTGCGCCCCTTCGCCCTAACGCCGCTCAGGTGGCAGATGGACTGACGGCCGGGCCGCGGCTCCCCGTCCACCTTGCCTTCCTCACCCGCTTCTCAGTCTTCCCACCCAGCCTGGCACCGCCACCTCAAACCCCACCTCCCCCCCCACCCCCCCCACCCCCGCCCAGCGTCCCTGAAAGGCAGGTCGGTCCCCGCTAGGGAGAGGGGCATGCGCCCCGATGAGGAGTGTGCGTGTGCGTGAGTGTGCGTGACAGGAGGGAAGACAGAGAGATTCGAGGGTCATGGGTATGAGGACGGTTTTCTTGCCAGGGCCTCCCTTTCCTTGGACTTTAAGTTTTCGTTCTCCTTAAAACAAATGCTTCCAAATTCCACCTCCTCCTTCTTTCCGCCCACCCACTTCCTCTTGCCCTGGGGCTGAAATCCTTCCAGGTTGTTCAGCGTAATTTCTCAGTAGTGGTGATAAGAACAGTACTCACTAGTCTTAGCAAACAGCCACGAAGACCTAAACAATAACCAACTTTCCCCCCTCTGGGTTTTTGCAGATGTCATTGTTTCCAGAGAAGGAGAAAATGGACAGTCTAGAGACTCTGGAGCTGGATAACTAAAAATAAATATATATGCCAAAGATTTTCTTGGAAATTAGAAGAGCAGAACCCAAATTCAAAGAAACAGGGCGTGGGGCGCACTTTTAAAAGAGAAAGCGAGACAGGCCCGTGGACAGTGATTCCCAGACGGGCAGCGGCACCATCCTCACACCTCTACATTCTGATAGAAGTCTGAACAGTTGTTTGTGTTCCTTTTTTTTTTTTTTTTTTGACGAAGAATGTTTTTATTTTTATTTT